AGATCAAATTTGAAAAACAATTAAATATCATATAATTAATAATTATCACATAATTTGACCTAATCTATTTTTCTTACAAGATAATTCAAATCAAAATACAAATAATTAATCTTTATCTTATAAAACAAGTAATTGTCTTAAATTGACAATTATCCATTAATTTGATTAGGATATCAATTACCGTAATTAAAAAATCTGATTTTTATTTGGAAAAACAATTTATGGTAATTATCTAAATCAGATTAGGGAAAAAATTTCGAAATCTGCTGTCAGACTGTGTTCACGAGGTGCACACACTGTGTTCACGAGGTGAGTCTGGTCAGATTCGAAATTCGCAATTTTTTCAGCTTTGAAAACTTAACTTTTGCATCATATAACAGAAAAACTAACCTGGCTCTGATACCACTGATGGATTTTGAGCATAACATCATTCCTATGGTGTACATGCAACCCTAATGCTTTGGATCTAGGTTTTCCTCAAGTTATACATGCAAACAATCTTCCAAAGCATAAACCCTAATCTAAAATGTCTAAGAACGAAATTCATATGTAAACAGTGTTGTAAAAATCCCGATTAGGTCCCGATTAATCTCCGATTAATCCCTAGGCGCTACTCGACCGATTAGAGAGCGCCTAGCGATTAATCCATGGATACAGAATGACTGAAATAGTAGAACCCGATGAAATTTTAACACTTTGAAAAAGTTATATCTCAATAGAAACTATTTAAGGTATGATTAGTATTGTATTTATCATATTAACCTATTTTGTTATGATATTAGTGGTATTTATGAACTTTTATATGATATTAGTCATATTTAATTTTTTAAAATCTTACAAATTAGCAATTAATGGTCCCCGATTAATCCCCCGATTAATCTCTGCCTAGCCGATTAATCCCTTAACCCCAGTCCACCGACTAGCTAACGTCGAGTGATTTTTACAACCTTGTATGTAAATAAGGGTTTGGAATCTTACCTTACTTGTTATGTAACAATAACAAGAACAATCCACAAAGTCCTTGACTCTTGAAAGCTTAGTGCCCCAATTTTTGCACCTCTAATGGAGTCACAAACACCACTAGCAACAAGGAAGAACAAGAGAGAGAGGAGGGGGCTTTAGAAATGTCTAGGACCTCCAAGAAATCATTGGGACGTTTTTGGGAGCCTTTGGGGTTCGTTTTATAGTTGAGGCTTCTAGGGTTATCAACTTGGAAACCCTAATTCCATTGCTTAGGCCCTAAGCAACATATGGACTCCTTAATGGACAAGCCTTAGACGAAATCTTTATGGACTCTCATAGAGATTTCGTCCACCCTATGCCAATAAGGTCCATGAGCCCAAACATAAATATTTCTGATTTACATAATCAATCCCCGTTAATTTAATCAGTCACTTTTGATCACCAAATTAATTCCAAGTTATTTTTTGATCAATACTAATTAAATAATATGATTTCTCAATTAATATATTATTCTTATAATACATTAATAAATCCTGTTTCTCCATAATTCATCCTATCAGTTGCTATGGTGAAGGCAACCCAAAAGGACCATGCTCATAATCGGGTTAAGTACATACCAAAATAGTTATGAGCTTAGACACCTAATCCAACAGATGGAACTCAAAAGAAAGTGACGAGAGAGGTCCTCTTTTCCATTAACTTGGATGATGATACCATGACCTTTACTGAAGCCATGGCGTCTCGAGATGCTCCTTTGTGGAAGGAAGCCATCAATGACGAAATGGATTCAATTATGGGTAATGGAACTTGGGAGTTAGCTGATCTACCCAAGGGAGAAGACCCATAGGATCCAAAATGGATATTCAAGAGAAAATATCATCCAGATGGATCCATATCCGCCTATAAAGCAAAATTAGTTTCTAAGGGCTATATGCAGCGAGAAGGGATCGATTATTTTGATACCTATTCCCCAGTTGCTAGGATTAGTTCTATTAGAACTCTCATAGGAATATCAGTGTTGAAAGGATTGTACATTCATCAAACAGATGTGAATACAACCTTTCTGAATGGTTATTTTAAGGAGGAGATTTAGTTGGAGCAACCTGAAGGATTCATGATACCTGGACTAGAAAACAAAGTGTGTAGACTTGTTAAATCCTTGTACGGGTTGAAGCAAGCTCCCAAACAGTGGCATGAGAGATTTGACACCACTCTGAATGCTTTTGGTTTTCAGCACAACAATGCTGAAAGGTGTATTTATTCCAAATATACATCCGATTACATAGTAGTTATATGTCTTTATGTTGATGATATGTTGATCATTGGCACTCACCTAGAAGGTATTCTTGAGATAAAGAAATACCTATCCTCGAACTTTAAGATGAAAGATCTTTGAGAAGTTGATACAATTCTTGGTATCAAGGTGAAAAGGACAGGTGGTCAGGTTTCTCTGAGTCAATCACATTACATAGAGAAAATTCTGAAAAAGGTTCAACATTTGAACATTAAGGAATTCAACACTCCTTTTGATTCAAGTGTGAAACTAAATGTGAATTCTGGTCGAGCAGTGGCTCAACTAGAATATGCTAGTAAAGTTGGAAGCATGATGTATGGTACTCACTGCACTCGACCTGACATCGCATTCGCTATAAGTAAACTAAGTCAGTATACTGTTAATCCAGGGATGGCGCACTGGAAGGTAGTGGGTAGAGTACTGGGATACCTAAAAAGGACAAGTACTTTTGGGTTGACGTATTCGTCATCTAATTCAATACTTGAAGGCTATTCTGATGCTAGCTGGATTTATCACACTAGTGATTCAAAATCCATAAGTGGTTGGATTTATATTCTAGTTGGTGGTGCTATTTCTTGGGCGAGCAAGAAACAGACATCTATAGCTCATTCAATGATTGAAGCGGAGCTAATTGTCTTAGCAACAGCAGGTAAAGAGGCAGAGTGGATTCGAGATCTACTTATGGATATCCGTATATGGGATATTCCAGTGCCTTCAATACCCATGTACTGTGACAGTGAGGCCACACTGTCTAAAGTATATAATGCGGTATATAATGGGAAGTCGAGACATGTAGGTATAAGACACAATTGTGTGAGACAACTAATTGAAAGTGATACCATCAAGGTTGTCTATGTCAATACAAGTAGAAACTTGGCAGATCCATTTACCAAACCTATGACGAGAGATTTGGTTACATCTACCACGAGAGTCATGGGTCTGAAACTACAATAGAATCGCTTGGTGATGGAATCCCAACTTGACATTAGTGCTCCTAATTCTCAAGTTTAAAGGGTAACAACGAAGTCACTAACGATAGAATGTACTATCATTAACGATAGATCCATGTGAGTTAGGATAGTACGTCGTTGCTGAGAACGAGGTTAAGTTACGACTGTTAACAAAGTTTTGGAGACATCTAAGCAACGAAGATGTTGTAAAACTTTGCCTATATGATCTAGAGGTGGTGCCGCCTTAAGTGAAGATTGGTGGTTTATCTTCTAAAGGGTCATGAAAAGGATTTATAGTGCATGACCATATTAGCACTCAGGGAGAACGAAAAGACGGCATGTGATGTGTGGGGGTAAACCGGAGAGGTCATAAGGTTCATGGTTTAAACCTATAAGGATGCCATTGAATTGGTCTCTTCTTGTTTGTGCTCATTAAACTTGGTTTTAATCTTAGTGACACCCAAGTGACATCATGTGTCTCAATGAAAGGAAACTTTCCAACTTGGTGGGGGATTGTTGGAAATTATAACAATATTATTGGAAATTATAGCGGTAATCTTGCAAGTTGGCAAGTTTCCCATATTAGTGGGGGAAGATATAGCAACAGAATATTCTGCCATTTCGTAGGTTCTGCTTTTAGAATATTCTACCACCTCGTAGATATGGCAACAAAATATTCTGGAAGGGTTAAAAAATGGCTAGCTTGGAGAGTAAGTCGTTGCCCTAGGGTTTCCAAGGGCCGTCCCATGTGGGCCCCTTTTTTTTCCTTCTAGGGTTTCAATGCCTATAAATACAACTCCTTAGGAGCCGTATTAGAGGCTGATGAAATTTGAAGCTCTCTTCCTCTCTTTACGATTTTCTTCCAGTTTCCGAGTATTCACTTTGCGCTTATCATTTTCCAGTGCTGTTGGAAAATCGATAGATCTGCATTAAATCATGGGGTTTTACTCTATTTCTTACAGCCAATAGAAGCGAAGTAAAAACCTTTAAGGAAATGAGTCCGATCTGTACAGTTCTTTCAAGTTCAAGATCAACCATCGACAGGTCGGTTTTACTTTTCTGTCTTGCGTTTAATTTCGTCCAACAACATGACAATCTTCTTCTACCTTTCTTATAATCAGATATAATCGAGAAGGATTGATCTGGTTTCAGGACGAAACTTCGTAAACATATTAATAATAATTGGATCTATTATTTGCAACTAATCGACATATAATTCTCAATATTATTTGTCGGTGTCCTTGCGCGTCTATTAGTTTGATTTACAACAAATTGTTCATCAGAGCATACATTTAAAACTTTTTCACTTGAAGCATGTTGCTGATCATACACTTAAATACCAATTGGTTCCTGTGAGGTCAGGTAAAGGTGAAGCATAAGTACTTGATAAATCATGAGATACTAAAAGATTCATTCTGAATAATATTTTCTTGGGAAGTAGATTATATGCCTAAAATACATGTTATGTATAAATCTCTTTCATTTTAGGTGTTAGAGAGAGAGAGAGAGAGAGAGAGAGAGAGAGAGAGAGAGAGAGAGAGAGAGAGAGAGAGAGAGAATAATGCCTTTGAATATGGTGGTCTGTATTTTTTATTTTTTTGGTATTTTGCTTCTGGGGCAGATCTCTCTTCGAAATACTTGGTATGCATCTCATCATGTTGAGGCTGTAGATCAAGAAAAGTATTAATAGTGTTTGACATGATAAGAAGTAAAAACATCCCACTACAATGAAGATGGCACACTAAAATAAGAAGAATTATGGTGATCGTCACGCACTTAAATTCAATCCATGTATGGTAAATTAAAGGATCAACTTTTCTAAATAACCCCAGTTAATACTTATGTATTGACCATTTAATTACAGAGTAATATCTTATTAACATAAAGAAAAAAAATATAAGTCTTCACTAATATTGCCTTTGAACTTTCAAGACACCAATATAAGATCACCTTTTTATATCATTACAGATTATATATATATATATAGATTATATATATATATATATATATATATATATATATATATATATATATATATATGAGTGTTGTAAATATTAGTCTAGGCGGCCGATTAATCGGTGTGTAGGTGTTTGGCGGTCCTCTACCTTCGACGTTTATAGCTAATCAGACTATATAATCGGATGTGGTCAAATACGGGTCTAGGCGCCCAAATCGGTCAACGAAAGTCAACGTAATTTTAAAAAAAAATTAGGGGAAAAATTGTCAAAATGTAACAAATGCTTCTAGGGTTGCTTCCGATTTCTCATTCGATGCTGCAAAAAAAATCGACTTTCTCTCTGCCTCTATGGACACAAACCACGAACGAGAACGAACAAAGGGAAATCGACGCATCTGCTTCTTCCGTCAACTTTAGCTCCGGCCTCTCAAGTCGTCGACGTTAGCTCCGGCTTCCGGTTCGTCATATCCTTCAAGCAACGACATAGGAGTCCCCTTCACACTAAATTCGATTTCGTTTACATGGTTACATCTAATCGTTTTTTTATCTGTAATTTTAGGCTTTGTGGATGCGACGACGACCTGATTCCAACATCGTCCGCCTGTTGACCTGATTCCTGATATCATCGACGACCTTATTCACACTTCACTGCCTCCGTTTGACCCTCTGCCACTGCCGCCTTATTGGAAGATGTATTACCTCAGAAGCAAATTTACACAGAGCCCTGTTAGCAAATCTGCTACGAGGGTAAGCCATATCTTACAGATTGGTTTTTCAATCTTAGTTTCATGTTTCTTAGTACTTCAATCTCGATACAGATTAATTTTATGCATGTATGGTGGTTTAGATGATTAGGAAATCACTCGACTGGTGTATGAAACCATCTGCCCACCAAGTGTTTGATGAATTGCTTGAATGAATCTTGTAGTCTTGATTATCAAAGCAAGGTATTGGTATTCATGGGTTCTTGATTAAAACTTTAGCAATAAATATGTATTGGGTTTAACTATTGTTGCTGGAATATATACTACATATAAGAATGGATTGGTTATGCATACAAACACTGATAGACAAATAGGCAGTATGAATTGATTGGTGATATCATGCCTCACAAGAATGGATTGTGCATTGCAGGACATAAGAATGGATTGGTTATGAACTCAGAATGAAAGTGTTAATGCTGATAAAGTGCAACAACATGCTGACAAGGTGAAATCATGCCTCACAAGAATGGATTCTTCATGTTTTCGTTTGATAACTTAGATCCAAATATAGTAGTTGGTTATTTAGATGTGATGTATTAAGGATCGAAGAGTTTTTTTTTTTTTTTTTTTTTTTGTAATATTAGTTTGTTGTTATAATGTTATTTTTATTAAATTTTTAATACCTTTGTTAATTGATATAATGTTATATTTAATGTTATATTCTTAGGATTAATTTTATATTTATTAATTTTTTAATAATTATTTTAATAATTAAGGGTCCCCGATTAATCCCCCGATTAATCCCCGCCTAAACGATTAATTGCTCGACCCCAGTCCACCGCCCGAGCGATTTCTGCAACCTTGATATTATATATATATATATATATATATATATATATATATATATATATATATATAAAGAGAGAGAGAGAGAGAGAGAGAGAGGTAAAAGATCAAATTAGAACCCCTAAAGGTTAAGAACCTTTTCGTTAAGGGTATTTGTGTCATTTCAATTATTTACATTAAAAACACACTAAATACTGTTAATGAATGTACATGCAGCCCATCTTGTATGCAACCCACATAGTTTGTATATAGCCACTATGTGGGCTGCATACTAGATCGGCTGCATGTACACCCACTAATAAATACTACAAACTAAAGATCAATTTCATTTTTATCACCAATTATTCAAACTCAAACATTTTCATCTTTCTCTCTCTCTCTCTCTCTCTCTCTCTCTCTCTCTCTCTTGCCTCCTAGGACCTACGACCGCCACTGCCACCGTCGGTACCACCACTACTAGTAGAATATCGTCGGCGGCAGACAATAACTTTTAGATCTGAAACCACCGTTTTCAGATCTTGAACCGACGCCTTCAGACCTGGAACCACGACCTTCATATCTGGAACCACCCTCTTTAGATCTGCAACCAACACTTTAAAATCTACGATTCTCTAACGTCACTCTAATCTGATCATACATGCGGTTTTTTGGTGCGATTTCTTCATATCTAGAATCACCACTGTCTGATCAAGAATCACCGCCTTCAGATCTAGACCCACCGCCTTCAGATCTGCAATCAACATTTCCAGATCAACGATTTTCCGACGTCAGTCTAATATGATCATATATGTTGTTTTTGGTGCGATTTCTTCAGATCTGATAGCTCCAACATCGTCGTAGACGAGGGCTACATGTCGACGGCTACACCACCGTCACCTCCCCCACTGTTGCCTTCTACTACTAGAGTAAACAAACCGTATAAGATATGTTCCATCACCACCCCGTCCTCATCCTTTCACTTATACTCCACCACAACCGTCATTTTCTCTTCCAAACACCGCCTTCATGTTGCTTCAGATCTGCTCTGACGATGATTTATAAGGTGAAAAACTCAGATCTGGAATATTCGAAGACTCTAAGGAACATGTGAATCTTAGATCTGTAAATGACATCATATCTAAAAACAATAAGCACACAAGGTGTTTGATGACATGCCTCAACGAGATCTGCAAGTTTTGAAGTTATGAATAAGTGCTTAAAATTTTTATATTAAGCTCTGAATTTGTGTCTGAAGTATGTATTAAACTATTATCTGTTGGGTCTAAATTATGGTTTATACTTTGCTTTTCTAGGCAATTGTAATTTTCCGTCTAGGACCGAAAAGTGTTTACGGCCCAATGGGTGTTTACGGCCCATGTTCCCCAAGTATATATATAGGTGTTAGGGGTGAGGAGTGGATGAGGAGTTTACGGCCAAGAGAGAGAAGAGAGAGAGAAAGGAGCTTAAGTGTGTGTAAGTGTGTGAATCTTGTGTAAGAGAACTTCATTCTAATCAAATCATACAAGATTCATATTATTCTTCTTCTCCTTCTTCTTCATTTTGATCTGGCATCATCCGTTTGATTGAGATTCCGCACCATCAAACGGATCTGATTGATACACAAGCAGATTTGGGACTTACAAGTGCTATCAGAGCTTGGATTGTATCAATCAATTTTTGCAGATCTGGAGCGTATTTGATCTTATTTTTGAAGGATTTCTGCGTTTTTGGATAGATCTTGGCAAAATAGGGGGGGTTTGTTCTTTGCATTTGTGATAAAAACGAGTTTTTGATCGAGTTTTGGAGCAAAAAGGATGAAAAACGTCATTTTTTCGTAACTGTTGAAGGGTTTACGACCCTTGAAGGGTTCTCGGGCCTTTGAAGGGTTCACGGCCCGAAGTTCGTTTACGACTAAGAACAGTTTGCGGCCATCAGAGTTCACGGTCCTCGGTGTACGGCTCAGCACCCTCGGAGTTCACGGTCGTCGGTGTACGGCTCAGCATCCTCGTACGTGTTCGGTCCAGCGAGTCTTTGATCAGCAGCATTGGTGCGAAGCAGCGCACACTTAAAAAAAGGGAAAGGAAATTTTGGGGTTGCCTGGGATCGAACCCGGGTCCCCTGACTCTTCAACCAAGCGCCTTACCAGTTGGACTAGGAAGCCACATTTTCATTCCTCTCGGATTTAATTCAAAAGGACTCCATTTCGAACCCAATTTCGCAATTTTGACACTTTCAGCCCAAAAATCAATTTCTTTTATTTTTAATTTTCATTTTCAACCCAAAAATTTTAGTTTTTAATTTTTGACTTTTATTTTTTTGACTTTTGACTTAAAATTTTGACTTTGACTTTTAAAGTTTGACCTTTGACTTTAAACTTTGACTTTCTCGTTTAACTTTCAAAATTTCAAATTTAGCTTTTCGGTTTGACTTTGAAGTTTGACTTTTCAAGTTTGACTTTTTAAATTTGACTTTTAAGGTTGACTTTTGAGTTTTTAGTCAAAGGGCATTTTTGATAAAAAAAAGAGTTTCGCATCCCTCCCGGTCAATGACGTTTCATGTACTCCATCTTGTGAAACTACTATTAAGTTTCTTCGTGAACAAATCGATTTATTAAAAAAAGAAAATGGGGGACTTAAATATGAGGGGTACCAACTTAGGAAAGGCCAGAAACCATTGAAAGAACAACCAGAGGCCAAGACTAAGGACTTTAGGAAATTACAAGCAGAGTACAGTAACAAGTGTGTCCATTATAGATATCTTAAGAAAGATTTTGATGATGTGACTGCCGAGCTTGACACATTGAAAACAAATTTGAAAAAGCAGATTTTAATTTCAGAAAATATGATGTGTCAAGTGAGGTAGTTGCATCCATGATAGAAAAACAATTAAAATTTAAAGATAATCAAAATAAGGGTCTTAGGTACCACAATGTTCCACCTCCCTTTAATGACAACTATAACCCACCCCTTGAGACCAACGGGGAAGAGACACCTGCTCAGTTTCGCCCACTCCGTGAACCAGGTTCAGTTAAGACTGAACTAGCTTCAGTTAAGACTGAACCATATGGGCCTACTGAGGTTATTAAGGTGAATGTTTCTGATGCTTCTACTTCATGTGCAGGTAAAGTAGTAAATGATGAGGACAAGGAGAACATAACTAATTCTAGTGCTGCAAATTTTGTTGACTGTCAAACCAATGACTCCTTAAACTCTGAATATGCTGCTTCTAACTCAGTTACTTCTAAACCTGCTGTTGGAAAATAGAAGCCACCAAAACAAGAAAAACCGACGACTTGCTGCAAGTGTGCTTGTGGGAACAATAAGAAACGAGACAAAGACACGCCACCAGGGGCAGGAAGAAACAACTTCCCAGTGAAGAAAAAGACATGTTTTCACTGTGGAACACCTGGACACATTGCCAGAAATTGTCCAAGTCGCGCATACGTTCCCTACTACGCAAAAGGCTGGCAGAATGCGCAAAGTGGGAGATTCCCTAAAAGAAATCCCTCAAGGTCACGTTTAGACAATGACGACTGGAATGCTACGAAGGGCAAGAGTTCAACTCCCAAGGCCAAGAATCCAAATCCCAAAGGCAATAAGGGAATGCCAGCCAAGAAGACCAATCTAAGAGATGCTCCAGTGAAACAAAGACCGGCTAGATCAAAGTCATCTCAACGGCCGGCATCAAGCTCAAAATCAAGTGCCGAGGCACCCAACCGCTCGAAAAAGAAATGGGTTAAACCCAACTACAAATGGGTACCAAAGGTTCAATCTCCTAAATCTTCTAATGATTCTAATATTTCTACATCTTCTGTTTGTGATAAGCAGGATATGTTATGGGAGAGAGTTCCTTGCACAAATGAAAAAGGTCAACCCAGTTTCAAGATGGACTGGGTTCCAAAGACCAACTAAACCCGCTCTGTGTCGGAGCAGCTATGGAGGCATATCATCAGAATTCGGTTTGTTGATAGTGGCTGTTCCAGGCACATTATAGGGGACATCTCTCAACTGTACAACATTCAGACCTTTGTTTGAGAGTATGTGTCCTTTGCGGGAAAGGAAAAAAGGAGAGGATCACACATGGGGTTTGTGCTTAACAATGTGAAGAATTTTCGGATCTGTTCTAAGACTACGCGTGTTGTTCTCAGACCTTCTGGATGCAAATTTAATCGGTGACTTACGGTTTGAGTTTTCTTCTCGATACTCCTGAGTTTCTCTTACATTGATTCATTTCAAAGAAAATTTTCTTTAATTTCCTTATATGTATTTCTTTAGTAGGCGTTTTTGGGAAGTGATATCAAGAAAGTGATAACGAGCAGTCTAAACATGTGTAAGGGACTGAATCTGAATTGTCTAGACTCTGTGTTCAATGTGCTGGTAGGCACGAAGGATTTGACAGTGTGGATTTAGATAGGATTGTTTGGACTGACCATATGATGCTCAGGTAGATTGATCAGTGAGATAAACATGGGAACCCACAGGATACAATAAATTAATACACATCTAGAACTGTGGCTTAACTTTTCCTTGATGTACAGACTTATGTCCTTAATTCTGGTTCTGATAGGGAAACTGGGGGGTTCTGATAAAGTAGGTCTGTAGGACATTATTTTCTTGCTTTCTATCTGTCAGTCATATGTTTCTTCCTCTGCGTGATTGGAAGAGATCCGACTTGGATTGCAACATATGCAACTCTAATTCAACGCACCTCCTTATCTATGAAATTCTTTCTATCTGTTAGCCATATGATGTCCCCTCTGCATGATCGGTTGATCTGACCTGGGACACA